TTACATTATAGAAAATAATGACCTTTATCACAATATGCTAATTTTTTTAGAAGGACCTGTACTTTATTTTACCCTTTAATCAGTGAATGATAATTAATATTATGGTATAAAAATAGCCTAACAAACTAGTCTTGATGTCACTGAAGCACATGCACTGATCTAACCAAAGAATTTATACACACTGATGTAAAAATTAATTTATCAGGTTCGTATTAATGAGGTCTAATGAGCCTGTGAGCAAGACTCCCACCATCTGCTCCCCCAGGCGCCCTAGATAGCAGCTCTCTGCTCCACACAGAGGGCTGTGGTAGCTCGGTGCTCTGCGATTGTCAGGAAGGACATCAGGTGTAAAAATACATGCCAAGTCTTTGTGTGTGTTGTCTCGCTGTGGCAACCCCTGAAGAAGAGAGGAGCTGAACTGCAGGATCACTGAGTTCTTGTGGTAGGCAGCCTGCTGAGTGGGGAGAAAAGTCTGTAAAAAGCATCGCAGCAGCTGGCAAACATTTTGGTGCATTACTGCCATCTTGTAGTCATAGCACGTTACTATCAGGGAAAATAAAAAATAAAATTTCAAAATAATTTTTATATTTTAGCAACTGTTTTTATTATTTTTTTTTAAAAAATCACTGTCCATTTATAATTTAAAGCTAACTGACTGAGAAAACTGGAAGAAGTCCAGAACCACTGCTAGGTTTTCATATTTGCATCAAGCCCTTCAGTTTCGAGGTGTTTCGTGACAAAAGCTGCAACCATTCAGGATGAGCAGGTTATAAATATTTATCTGCTTTGTAGTTCAAGTCATTGTTTCAGAAGCTATTAAGTTAAAAAACAGGATGCACCCCTGTAGACAAACCCTTTCAGTGAGAAATCACTCCTTTGAAGGACAATTGCCCCCTCAGGAATTTGCTGAAGCTGTAAGGTGTGGGTTGTGGGCATAAGTTCAAAGCAACTGAGAAATAATATAAAATTAATGCTTCTGCTGTGACACGTAAATCACACCTCCATCTGGAAAAACAGTGCTATGCTAGCATGTGTGTAGTGTGTAATGCTTTCTTTAATGTTTAATTCTTTATAAACAAAATAACATCACAAGCCACATAAAAAGGCTATCTGACACTAAGCAGATCAAATTATCTAAAAAAAAAAAAAAAAGTGAATAAATCAACTGTGTGTCTGCTTAACTGCATGGCTATCTTTTAATAAAAGAAAAAACTACTCCCTGCATGATTATTTGAAATTTTTAATTCAACACACTATCTAATCTACCATAACATTATGAATCACAACTGCAAATTATTGTGTTTTAACATTTTTCAATTGCTGCATGTGTAAGGTAGTTTGGTCATCTTTTAGGCAACCAGTAAGGGGCAGGTAAATGGCTCACGTGGCGAAAAGTATCATGAGTGATTCAGGTAGGTCCACACTCAAAGGCAAACATTCAAAAGAACATGTTAAAGTTGTATGGACGACCACAAACGCTTAATTCTGTCATGAAAACGACTTGTTCTTTATCTTTTGTGTTGCATGGATTTCTTCCAAGTTTGGCGTTCGTTGGTAACAATAAAAATGACAGTTCTAGTGATGATGAAGAAAACAAGAACACCATCTAACAGCTTATAACTCTCAGTAGGTTGATACTATAAAGCAGGTTCAGTATATCGGGGGATCTTTAACTCTCAAGTAATAATCACAATATCACTAATTCAATTCAGTTTATTTATATAGTGTCAAATCACAACAAAGCTGTCTCAGGGCACTTTACAGGAACATTCACATACTGTACATAGAAAAGCCAATTAGTAAAGTTCTCTATCTAAGGAAAATGCTTGGTTCACCTTTATACCCGTAGTACTTGGTGTCCACCAACTATACTACATGGGAAAAGTTTTGTAAGCTCCATCATCCAGGTAAATAACAACAAAAAAGGTTAAATCATGTCATCTGGACCTGTTACCTTAAGTGAGATACATTTTGTTCCCTGTCTGGAGGACTTCATCAGTCTGTGGCCTGCCAGTCATATCTGTCCCATAGATGGCCTTCACTGCTGTGTTTCAAGACGGCATCCTGTTGGAATCTCAGAAGTAGACTTTTCACACGTGAAAACGGAGCACACCCATCCAAAACAATCGATCATCATCAACAACAATCAAATGTTTTAGGCCAGGTGGCCAATTTGCTACTCACAGAAACAGCCTGAGGACACCCAAGGCCAAAATGGTTCAGAAGGCAATGAAGGCTACTTATGGGACAGATCTGGTTGGCAGGCCGCAGACTGAAGTCCTCCAGATAAGGGATGAAATGTTTCTCACTTAAAGAAACTGATCCAGATGACACGAGTTAATCTTTTTTGTTATACGGACAAACATTTCAGTGACGTGAAATCATGTTTCATGATAAAACTGCTGCAGAACCTTCAAGATGAGTGAGTGTCCAATAATCTATAGACCAAATCTGAGATTATTGGTTGGATTGAGGTCTGGACTTTATCTGGGCCATTCCTGGACATTTAGCAGGAGTGTAGTGTGGTTGTGGACAGGAGGTGAACCTCAAATTTCTAGATGAAGAACAGCCACAGCATGATGCTGCCACTACCATGCTTAACTGTAGGGACTGTGGTATCAGCATAAGAGGTAGCACATTGGTCTCAGCCCAAAAAATCATTTTAGTCTTATCTGACCACACCACCACTTTCCACATGTTTGGGGAAGAAACTCCAGTCTATTTTACTTTCTTTTCTTTTTTCTTTTTTTTAAAGTGCAGTAACACTTTTCTATGAAGTTCAGCTTACAGTCCTGTAGACATTCCTTCCATCTTTGCAGCAGAGTTGCCCAGCTCCATCAAGGTTATCTTTGGCATCCTGGATGTTTCTCTGATTGTTGCCTTCCTTTACCAATCCGTGAGTTTTGTGGATGAGGCAATTTTGGCAAGTTTGCTGTATTCTTGTAAAAAATGGGTTTAGGATTCAATATAAGCCAGACACAAGAGTGCAAAAACAAGAACAGTTTTGATTAATTTGGCTGCTGGTTGCTGGAGTCAGGGTCCAAGGCGGGAGTCCAATCTTAATAGACAGAGAGGTTAGTGACTTTGGTGAGAAAAAGGGGATTCTGTGATTGTAGTAAGTCACTAACCTTCTTAGTCTGTACGTGGCAGGTAAAATCCAGATGCATGGTCTGACGGTTGTAGCGGGGGTCAAGCACAGGCGAGCAGAGAGTAGATGCCACAGCCAAATCGTGATCCTTTATCGTAGTCCTGTTGGGAGATCAGTCATTTACCGTAGTCAGAAAAGCAGTCAAATCCGAAAGGGTCAGGCAAGGCGAGGAAACCGTGGTACAGGTGTGAGGTCAAGACAAGGTGAGGCAAACAAGGCTGTGGCAAGAAACTGTTACTATGATGGCTTCAGAATCGGGGACCATGAAAGGTTTAATAATTTGGCACTGGTAGGTTGTGGACATGGAACTTATAAAGGGCAGAAAACAGGTGGCTGGCATGAATGCTGATTGCAGAAGGGGTGTGGTGCTGAATGAATGGAGCAGACTGAACAGGTGAATGGGATGAATGCCGATTATTGTGGAGAAAACAGTCAGGTCAGGCCGTATACTGTATACGGATACTTAGAAACCAAAGAACAGCAGTTAGTACAATGTAATCGTCAATTTATTTTGATTTTTAAGCATATTGACATTTCCAAATTTCTCTGATGCTTATATTTGAATAAATGAACAACAAACTTTGTACAAGAGTTGACTTTGTATTAAAAACATGTTATAAAATTTATAAAACGGTATCAAAGTAAAGCATGTTCAAGTATTGAAGTTTTTTTTTTTTAAGTATTTAACAAGTATTTAACAAGGATATTAACAAGTATTTAAGTATTTTGTTGAAATCAGGTCTCTCTTGTAAATGAGTCCTCGGGGCTCAATGGGATTACCTGTCTAAATAAAGGTTGAATGAAAAAAGTATTAAGTAGTAAGTACAGAAGTATTAATTATACAATAATTTGCTGGATAAACTAATGTAATAAGCGATGCATACCAATAGATGGTTACGGAAGCATTTAACTGTCGTTTAACGTATCAATGACATGTGCCTAATTATATGTCATCTGTATCATTGGGCACTTTTAAGTGAGTATACTGAAATTCTTAAGCTTTTCTAGTGGATATACTCCATATGCCCTCATATCATGTACTGCAACTGTATCATTTTGAATGGATACTACAATCTAACTCCATTTCTGAAGGTAACTGTTGGGGTCTAAATTAAAGGTGGTAAATATTATACATATGCACACCAATTTTTAGTCAAGTTTTAGATTCATTCTGTAGTAAAATGTGGGGGTACAACTTAACTGTGGACACACGGGCCAGTATTTATGTTATTTAAAACACGTACGGGCCACTGAATGTAGTATGTCAACGGACAGCTTTGCTGTACCTTCACTACTAATTAATTATTTACAACGGGTTCTTTCTTTTTCGAGTTAAATTAATGCCATGTGACGAGATAACTGATGGATTGTTTAATCAGTGACATAAGACGTTATTTTTTTTGACCCATCAGAATAAATGCGGTCATTTATTTAACAGAATCAAAATTTAACATCAAAACATTGTACACTTGATTCACTGATCTGGTTCTGATTAATAAAACTTGGCACGCTTTACTAATAAGACAACCGAACATTTCTGAAGGCATCTAGATTGATTTACAAAATAGAAGAGTTTAAAGGAAGGAATGGAGAAGTTTAAAGGAGATGGATGGAGGGAGGTGTATGTTTGGATTGACCAGAATTAGCACACTTCTTTCAACACCAGCTCAAACCTCCGGTACACTTCAGGACGTGCAGAGACTTCGTTACCTTAGACGGGGGATACCTCCACTCCGGAACAGAAGTCCATTAGTACGATCCTTTTACAGCGTCTCCGGTCAGGGTGGCTGGGCATCGTCAGAAGTCGTGTGGTTTACTCCGTTAAACAGACACGCTTCCTTCGAAGTTGTAGGCGTTACGCCCGGGTGAGTTCACAGCTAGGATCTGTGACTCCGTCAGAGATCCCACTCAGAAGTGGAAGACTCCAGAAGGCTTGAGAAGACTCCATCAAAGACTGAGTTCGACTCAGATCAAAGACTGAAGAGTCGAGAAGACTCCGCTTCTTCCAAGACTTGTCCAAGACTCCAAGACTGAATAGTTCCAGGAAGTGTGGACTTTAAAGAGTTATCACTTCCGGTCACTTAGTACTTCCTGATTGGTTGAAACAACCAACAGGGGGTGGTTCTAGTGATGTCAGAGGGTTATTAAAAGTCAAGAGAGGGTGCAAAAATGTTTAAGAACGTTTAGTACAGACAGAGAAATGTTTTGAAGAAGTGAGAGGAATGCAGATGCCAGTGGCAGTTATTTACCGTCTGCTAGGTTTAAAAACAATACAGTTCGTTCTAATAACTCGTTCTCTGACTGTCTCTGACTTTTGGCCGACATCACTGACTTCTCATTCAGACAGAAGATCAAAATGCATAATTACTTTGTAAATAGACATTTAACTTGATTTCTAAGTCTGATGAGGTTTTAAAAATCATTAATACTGTTTTACAGTTGATTTAAGTGAGTGGTTTACTTTCAACATTAGAAATGATATGAACTAAACACACTTTTGATTATCAAGATATTGTAAAATAGTAATGATATTATAAAAAGAAGAGTGTTCTTTCAATTGATTAATTCAGGATACAATTAGACAGTCTCTGGATGAGCTAATTTGCATTTCTGGATTCAAATCAATGAAATAACAGTTCCTGTCCCATGAAGGTCTTCAGAAACAGGTTGAGGTCGAGGCCTAGTTCACTACAATTCAAAGAGTTTTTATTTTGTTTGTTACTTGCAATTATATAAAAATTGCATGAAATTCCAGGTTGTAAGGCAACAAAATAAATGTACGGGTGCTTTTGCCTCCCAATGTGGTTTAAATGTTCCTCCACTTTAACTCACCTAATGATGCTTTTCTTTCTGGCCCTTTCACAGAGAAAAGAGCATGAACGTGGCACAATACCAAGTCGAAGCACAAGCACTTCACCGGATGAACAAACTCCTTTGCTGCAAGACGACACAAACCAACAAAGATGCACATAAACTCCCCCAGCTTGAACTATCAATGGAAACATTGACTCTTCTGCACAGAATAATGATTCCAGCAAAACAACTGAAGCCATGTTTTCTTGTAAAGTTTACAAAACTGCCAAAGATGAGTGCTGACTAGTTTTTGTTTTTGTTTTTTTATACGCAACCATTTCTTACCAAAGGAAGAGTTGTCCGTCTGCACATGCGACACTTTGTTTATTTAACTGTGGTCATTTCTGCTGAGTGGGAACATTTTCTGGTTTTATCACTTCAGGAACAGCAGTAGTTACTATTGCTAGTAAGAATTTGTTTACCGGTAATTTTAGAGAAATCGTGTTTTGTTTGACAACAAGAGAACAACAAAAATCACTTCTTTTTTTTTTATCACCAATTTAGTATTTTACCACTGTGCCTTCAACATGGAGGTGTAATTTTTTTTTATTACGAATAACATTCAGAATATAGTTTTTATGTGCAATGAGTATTAAGAAGAGAAAGTTGGTTTGTTTTTGAGACTCATCAGGCAAACATGTCTGACAATCCATGAGTGAAACTGAACACTCCTCTTTCTAAACTACTACTACTGTCTACTGTACAAATTTGAATGCATTCCTTCAAATGAAACATGCGCTTTGTTGTAAAGTACCTTTTTCATTATAAAACCTATATGAATTAAGGAGCCTCTAGGCAAAAAGTGAATCAGTGTTTACGCGTTTGTGGAACGATTCTTTTACCAGTGTCTCATTTGTGATGGGGTTAGACTGAAATAAAAACTAAATGACAAAAGTTGCTGGAATTGATACATTTCACTTGATGCAAGTTTCATGTAAACCATAAAAACCTCGTAATACTGATGATACAAAGTAATTTCACTCTTTGATTTTTACGGGGGGGGCAGCACGGTGGCGCAACTGGCAGAGCTGCTGCCCCTCAGCGAGCAGGTCCCTGGTTCAAACCCCGGTCCAGGGGCCTTTCTGGGTGGAGTTTGCATGTTCTCTCCGTGCATGCGTGGGTTTTCGCCGGGTGCTCCGGTTTCCTCCCACAGACCAAAAACATGCATGTTAGGCTGATTGGTAACTCTAAATTGTCCCTAGGTGTGAGTGAGAGAGTGAATGTTTGTTTGTCTCGTTTGTCTCTATGTGGCCCTGTGATGGACTTGCGACCCGTCCAGGGTGTACCCTGCCCCTCGCACAGTGATTGCTGGACATGGGCACCAGCGACCCCCGTGACCCAAAATGGAATAAGCGGGTAAAGATAATGGATGGATGGATGGATTTTTACGGGAGCCACTTCAGGTTGAAGATGCAGAACTGAAAACAAATAGTTCACCTACAGAACAAAACACTACAGGCCTGCTTGAACATTTATCTACTTTTCAGATTGTCATTTCATTTATTTATTTAAATTAGGACAATGCATATGAATGAACATGTCAGCAGTAAGCATCAGTATAAATATGCTGGAGTTAGCACAGCAGTTAATTTTCATCCATTGTCCTAAGGCAGGTAAGAACAAGAAACATCCCACAAAACAAAGAGCAGAAAATGATAAAAATATCACCTATACAACACATAACACAACATGAAATTACAATAAAGATATGATGCCATAAGAAAATAGAAAAAGTAAGCTACACACGAGTGCACCTCTGGTTAGTTTTCAGCCAAAGTTTCAAAGAGATTTTAAAGCTGGAGTAGGTGTCACAGGTCCTGATGGAAACTGGAAGTGTGTTCCATGACTGCGTGCCTCTGATGGACACCACCATTTGACCAAATTTAGTCCTGCGCCGCTGCACATTACAATCTCCTCTGGTCAGTTCTCTTGTGTTTACTGTATTACTTGTTTTTTTTACTTATAAAATACATTAAAGGAGGAGGCACAAGTCCATTTAAAACTTGAAAAATCAGGAAAGCATCCATAAAAAATCTGATAGCTATCAAAATCCAAAATGTTGTACTTACTTATGATGTTACAATAATGATAATGTAAACGCTTTGTCGAAAAATTTCAGTGTTTTCTTAAAAAGAGACTTTAGGGGCTTCGTAATGGCCTCAGAATTGTGAGACCATGTAGTATAACAAGCGATATGGCTGAATATAATGGCATTTATGTAAGTCTTGGAAGATTCTGTTGTCAGACAAGGTCTTATGTGTTTTGACAGATTGTCTAATTATATTTTGAAATTCTCTTTACATGCTGCTTAAAATTTAGATTGGAATCAAAAATTACTCCAAGGTATTTAAATTGTTCAACCACATCTAATGTCTTTCCATTGACTAACAGATGGTTGCTCATTATCTGCTGGCAGCCGAGAAAAAAAACATACAGATTGTTTTTTAATGTTAAAATGTAGACGAGTCCTGGAGCCAGTGAGACACTGTCATCATAGCACTAGAAAGTACAGCAGAAGCTTTTTTTTTTTTTCTTCCCCCTATGAACATACAATACAGTATCATCCGCATGTAATTGCATTTTTTACAGTTTTGCAGACATTGGGTAAATCGTTAACAAATAGGCTAAATAAGATTGGTCCCAGTATTGAGCCTTGTGGGACTCCAGCTGAGCAGGTAAGAAAGGTAGATTGTGAGTTTTCTATTTGTACTGCTTGTTTTCTGTCAGACAGATATGATTTCATCCAGCAGAGGGAACTATTAGAGAAATTAAAATGAGATAGTGTAGCAAGAAGAATTTTGTGGTTGATGGTGTCTAAAGCATGTTTCAGGTCAAGGAACACAGCCCCCACAAAGCCACCCTGATCTAGAAGCTGTTTTAGATTTTCCTGAAAGTCACAGGTGGCTGCTTCTGTAGTGTTACTTCATGAACCCAAACTGCATGGGATGGAGAGAAGTTGAACTTTTATTTAAATGCTCTGTTAACTGTGCAGCAACTCATTTCTATGCAATTTTAGAAATGCTTGGTAAAATATGATAATTCTCTGGTTTTGTTTTATCTCCTGTCCTAAACACTGCCCTGGCAATTTTCCGTTTTGATGTGTACAATATTATTTTTAACCATTTTTCATCATTTTGATCTGAATCATTCTGTTCTCACAAGTTTTTAAATGAGATGGAACAATTTCAGCTTAAGAAGCATGTTTTTCCTATTTGATCAGATGAAGATCCTTAAATCTCAGCTATGCTGAAACTGTGCATTGACAAAAAGACATATCAGGTTAGAAAACTGAGAAATTTGATGAAGATTGAAGAAAAAAAAAACTTTAGATGAGAGACCCCTAAATTTATTTTTGAAGGTTTATGAAAATTTTGCTTTATGACTCCAGGTTGTTACAGATTGTTGCAAAGCTATTTATGATCTAAATATTTGCAAACATTTAAGCTCCATCTACAAAACCTAGAGGTCCCCCCCCCCCAAAAAAAACCCCCCCTCTAAATAGACCGTACTTATATAGCACCTTTCTATCTTTTTTCAAGATACTCAAAGTGCTTTACACTACAATCTGTGTCCTCATTTACCCATTTCATTCAGCACTCTTCTAGATCTCTACAAAGCTAATTGAACAAATCATTCTAATGAGACTAATCAGTGCTTTATATCACATTCATACACTGATGGGACACACATCAGAGGCTATGAGGGGTTCAGTGTCTTGCCCGGTGACACTTCAGCATGTGACTGCTGGTGGATTTGAACCCCCAACTCTCGCATTGGAGGACGACTGCTCTAACCACTCAGCCACAGCTGCCTCTACAGTTGCAGAATTACTCAGGAAATTAAAAAGTATATATTTTTGAGAAAGTAAATAAATATTTGAAGACCTAGTAAGGGGGCACAGTGAAGTAGTGGTTAGAGCTGTTGCCTCTCAAAGTTTTGATCAAAGCTCTTATGAATGAATGAACCCTTGGAGTTATGAATGAATAATACAAGAGTTACTGTAATCGTTTGAAGATGTTTGTCCTGTTATTACTTTCTGCAAGATTCATAAAAATAAAACTTGTCACAGAGTAATATTGTATATGCTGTTCAGAAGATATTCAGATATATTCAGAATATATTTAAATAAAATTATACTTACCAACTAAAATAATCTGTCATATTATCTGAGCAAGGTGATAAGAGAGCACTTTTGCTTGTGATTCTGTAACACTGTCCAATGAAAGTTTTAACATCTGGAGTTCTTGTTGGAATACAGACCATAATGTCTTAGATCTGCCACATCTACATTTATGTATATATAAAAAAAAAAATAACACTAAGATATTGTTAGTACAGAAGCTGAAAAGTTTGTATTTCCCTTACAGCTGTTCAAGTGGATGAGGGTGAGGGTTTCAGGGTGGTGGGTGTCATGTTACACTGAGGTCATAACAGATGATGGGACAAACTGCAGTGATGTTGTTTGTCCACCAGGTGGGAGGACTGATGTTTTTCTTCAAGATGTTGTCCGATTGGGCTGCTGTGATGACAGTTTTATGAAAACATGTCTGGAGTTGTGCTTCAGATGTGTGTTTAGGGGTTGTTGTCCTGCTGGATGGTGAATCTCTGAGCCAGCCTCAAATCTCTTGAAGACTCCTTCAAGAATTTCTTTATATTTGCACGGTCCATCTATTCTTCTACTCTGACCAGTTTCCCAGTCCCTGCTGATGGAAAACACCCCCACAGCATGATGCTCCCAGCACCATGCTTCACTGTTAAGATGGTATTTTCAACATCTAGAGATCTGTTGGGGTCATGCCAGATCTGGTCCACATGTTTGGGCAACAAACATCAAATGCTCTGCTTTCCTTGACTTATTTGTCTATTTTCAACAAAAGCTTCCTCCTGATCACATTCCTATAAGGTCCAGCTCTGTACACTTTTCTTTAAAAAAAAAAAAAAAGCTAAAAATAGTCTACTGCTGGACCAAGGCTGGCCATAGAGCTGGTTACTGACTGTTCTTTAAAAATGTAGTTCAGCGCCTGATCAGATTTCCAGGAACAGAGAACCAGTTCAGAATGATGCCACAATGTCTCGGCCAGTTTGTG